GTCACAATGTCTCGCAGTCAGCAACGTTTACATTCGGCTCCCGCCACCGACCTAAAGGCAACTGGGGGGATGCACCGGGATGTGCCACGGCCACTGCTGCTGGGTTCTTCTGCGAGATCAGGGTCCCCGATGCCATCCAGCGCTGACGAGATCGAGGGCAAGGCCAGGTGAATCGCGAGATGGTCTCAACGTCACATTTACGGATGGGTCCCACGAAGTTTGGCGTCATTTGCGTATCGTCTGTACGAAGCACCAACGGATCGGATGCAAATTCAGCCTTTTTCCTAAGCACAACTCTGGCTTGAGCACTTCTCAACATGCGCTTCATTTGGCTATTTGTTCAGGACTTCGCCAAGACTCTATATTTACTTGCTGTCGATAATAAATATCAGTAATCAACGCTTGAATTGTTCGAAAATTTTACTTTCCAGCATATTTCGGACTATAAGAGGTTCCCAAGTACCCAATATACAAACTAAAGCATGGAAATGAAAGGAAAAGTCTCCCATGATGGATCACAGTGAAATTACTCTTCTGCAAGGAAGACATTAACTTGGACCAAGCGACCTTCGACCAATTCATCGAGGGTAATTGCATTATTTTGTGCAAGAGTTATACAATTTTGCTGTCGGAATCGCTCTTGTTGCAAGTCATTTCGTGCTTTTTGATAGCGAAAGAACTGCCGGAAATGAAATTCGTGAAATCTCACTACGCTAAAGTCTGTGGAAAAATTTACATATATTCTCGAAAAAAATGTACCCCACAGATTGGCATACGTAATTTGCGGTTTTGACTATTTCTGCAAGTTACCATCACTGTGTGCGATGTTAGGACGAAGTTGTTAATTTCTGGATTCCATGACTCGGTGGAACTGCCTTCGGCATGGCATTATTACTATTTTTTTACGCTCATAAACTCGTCCTGCCAGCAAAAATGATTTGGAAATTTATTTCGCAAAGATGAATTTGAATTGCGTATGACTGAATTTGTTCCCTCCTTTCTCGTATGATTAAACCCGCAAGTTAGGCTTGCGGACTTCCATTTCGTTACCTTTGAAAGAAACTAAAAAGTTCACTGACTTGTGATAAATGAAAGTGCTCCCCACAAAAAGGCATCCCCGGGCAGCGAATGCGAATTCATCCACTAATGCGTGGTGATTCATGTCATAGTCTTCACTCTCAAGTTCCACAAATGTTGCTGGCAACGGGAGGTCAATGAAAATCCCAATAAAACATATTGACATCAATTTATTTGAATCATTTTCGAATTTTGCAACCCAGCGAATCAGCTGGATTCAAAAGAATTACATCCTAATTTTTTCCCCACAAGTCTTGAACGAGCTCTGCCTAAAGCCTTCCTCCAAACAGTGTGAAATAAATATTATACCAATATCAATTTCCTGGATAATTGTGCGGACGATACTTGATCCCTTAAAGCTGCGGTCCTCCGCCTGTTTGGCGCGGCATCAAGGGATGCAGCAGGAAGCAGGCAAGGATTTTGTAAGACTAGCGAGTTTGAAAGAGGACTGCCCATGCAAATATCGCTAGGATTTCCGCAATTGATCACTCTCCTAACAAGGAAATCTCGAGTCCATTAAATTGCAATACATAAATTACGATGTGTGACCTAGATAACACCATCATTGTGAAACGCGGTTAATCCAGGGATCGAACCTGTACTTTCTTCTGTAACGTTAGAACTAATGTTACCGTAGGTCTACCACATGTGTCGCTGTCATTTAACGTCCGTCGTCTATGTACCGTGACACAAAAGTCACTTGTCAAATGAGAAGAAAAAAACCACTTTGTCTGAAATATTTGTTTGCGAGACCGAGTTTTTGCATCACGTGATGTTTACTGATGATGTCTCTTCTTCTTGGATCGTTATTCTCACACACAGAATGCACGTTACTGGTCCCAGACTAACCCATCTTGTATGGGCCAATCGAACAAACTTGGTGCTGAGAAGGTGGTGTGGTGTGGTCGGTTTGGTGACATGGTTGCGGGACCACACCTCTTCGAAGGGCATGTGGACCAACACATTTGGGCAAGTATTGGACACAACTGTAGGTGATTTTCTTCATGATTTGCCACCAAATACACGGTGCAAAATGTGGTTCCGACTGGACGGTGGCACTCCCCGCTTTGCTCTCACGATTCGTCAGAAATTGAATAACCTGTTTGGTAAGCAGTGGATCGAACGGGGTGGACCTGCGTCATGGCCCCCTCGATCACCTGACCTCACTCCCCTCGAATTTCTTCCTCTAGGGCTATGTTAAACAGCATGTGCTCATGATGGAACCGGCATCCCTCAAATACTTTAAAGACCGCACCACTCCTGTTCTTCAGGAAATCACACCAGCAACACAAGCCGCCGTTAGAAAAGAAACAAAGAATAGATTGGAGCACATTATTGTGGTTCACGGAGAACACTTTGAGCATATCTGCTAAATCAAAAATAAGGATTTTAGGCAAAAGGTTTTTTTTTCTCATTTGTCAAATGACATTTGTGTCACACTGTACTTGAGGAAAAACGCACTACTTGGCCGAAATCATCTGTTTCACGCTGGAAGTGTGGACATAGTGAATTAATGAAACTGGGTCGTGGAGGATATTGAATCGACGATGTTCCCCTTTTTCTTGCAAGTCTCAAACAAAAAATGTCATTCAAACTTCAACGAGCAGCGCCATCGAATCTGAAGCGAGTCTTTGAAAATATCCTCGACAAATATGTTGAAAAGCATAAAATATGAAGCCACTCTTAAGGATGAAAGTGTCCAAGAAAATTTATTTAGTAATAAATTCAACGAAAGGACTTCAAGCTTGGCCATAGTGTGATAGGCTTCATTCGCATCTTGGATAGTTTTTTCACTAATTCCGGTCTGATAACAATTTTTCTTATTGAAATAGATATTGAATGTGAGGAGTCTAAATTCCTTATTTGGCAAATTATAATTTTTAAAATGCTGGTGAACAGTCACAGTGTTGTTAGCAAGAGACTGCATAACAGCAAACTTCGGGATTGAAACCTATCGTATATTTACTGCTGCATCTCCTGATTTCTCGTGAGATCCTTCCTCTATAGCTATCTCTATACTCTGCCTTTATCCACAACTGGTTGGCGATCCATTACAGGGTAACCTATCTCCTCCTCGACGGAATGGAAAATTTTCTCGGTAAATCAGTCTAATCCAATCCTAAGTTTAAAACTAGTTGGTGATATAAACGTTCCTGGAAACTACTTCGAAGCACGCCCACTCCAGTCAGATTACGGAGAAATAAGTTTTTCCGAAGGGAACTCAGAATTTTCACGGATCACAAAGCACAACGAGTTGGAGTACAACGCGTGCTGTTTTCAATGTGTTATGGTATTTGGGCGTCTATCGTGTTTAATGGGCCTGTGGCGTCAGCTACTCCAAATATCGCCTTAAAAAAATAGGAAAATGAAAGCAAGGTTGCTTTCAAGAGGCGCTGAATGCGTGAAAATCGAGAACAGCGCGCGCGTTGTTAATGACATGCTCTCGCAGTTTCATCACATGTACTCGTTTTCCCCAGATTTGCTTTGCTGAATAGGTCTCTTAACTATCTGCCTCTGAAACTTGTTTGCGGATATCTATTTCAAAGAAAGACAGAGCAGCCATTGAAGTACTAAGTAAAGAAATACCCAATTGGTAAGGAAAGCAGTGAAAGAGTTCCAAGATAAAAACTGGAGCGTCTCCAGTATCACTTTCCTTTTTGCAAAAGGTCGAACCAACTGGCAGCAGTGATCGCAATCTCCCAGCGTTCAGTAAATCGCTCAATTGATCATTGGAGGAACTGATCGGAAAGTGTGATTGATAATAGAGGAGAAGTCTTTGAGAATTTGCTACAAATCAAAATTGCTTATTGGGCATTTCAGTTCCGAGCAGAGGAAATTTAGAGTGTCATTCGAATTTAAGAATTAAATTTATTCACAATTCTTCGTCCAAACCTAGCCAAATTATAAATGAAAGCATCAATAGATTGAAATTTGCCGCCAATTAATGTGGCTGGTCAACCTTGAAGAATAAAAATTTAAACATTCTGAAACTAGAGTCCAGGTTTTTCTTGCCAATATTTGGTTTTCAAAGAAAACAAACAGAAAAAGAAACAGCCGCTGCATTATTTCTTTAACAGTCGTGTTGACCCTGCCTTATTACACGATGATTATTCAATGATACTGCTGTACAAAGACACTGTACCTCAATGCAAGTGTGGAAACTTGCTCGCGAACATCTCGAAGTGCTCTAATTAGATTTTTTTCCGGAAAAAGCCATGTAATTTCATATCAACGACGTGGAAATCTCGTGACGATGAGTTATAGGAAGTTGTTAGCAAAAAAAGGTATAGCCTCTCATGGGTTCCTTAGGACTGACACTTCCTGGGTCTTATCAAAGCTTGCCTCATCTCTCAAGAGCCTATTGACCTCCCAGTCTAGATAGGATCTTTCCGTCACTGAGTAGAGGAGCGGCTGGGCAATGTGTTGAAATCACATTGAACGACTTTCTGCTTCCTGCTTCTTTTTCCTTGAAACGGTTCCTTGATTAACAAATGTAACCATTGAAACTTTCCAGAAAGTGTTATGCAACTGCAAAAAATCCGGTAACGTATTTACTTGTAATATGAATAATTGGCAAAAAATATTCAGATGAAGGCACGATAGCAGCAGAGAAGCCAGAGTTTGGCGCAATAGAGAAAAAAAAGGAGACAGGGAGAGACAAACATGCTTCCAGACTTATGCTATTTCAGGATCGAAGAGCACGCATAAAGGGGAACAAGGTATCAAACGTGACAGAACCTTACAATTCGATCAGCCTTTATTGGAGTAACGAGTGAATACCATTCGACTTTAAGGAATTTATCAAAGAAATAATATTAATTCACCAACATAAGGTGAATACCGTTTGACTCTGAAGAAAAACTCAGAGAAACCAAGTTAACCTTCCACAGATTCCTGTAAGACGCGTGGGAATCACAAGAACCCTATAAAGACCCAGTGGAACAATGCACGTCGTCCAGGCTGTGAATACGTCCGTGGAAGGATGGAGGACCATGCATGGAATTGGATGGGATGGGGCGGGGACTGGATGGCTGCGAGGATGTGGAACCAAATCGGCTGGAGATTTGAGAGAGTTCTTCATTATGGAATGGAGGTTCACATGTGGACAGAGATCGATGAAGGATTGGCACTCTGCGCTGACTCGTCAAAGCCTGAAACCATTCAGTTCGATTATTCTGTAATCAGCACTGTGCAAATGGAGCTCAAATGAAAAGCGAAGGAATTGAGCTATTCATGACAGCAACTTAGGTAAAATAATTTACCATTTCAAGGAAAACCTGAGTTTAAGAGAAATCGCTCAGAAACCTGGGCCCCATTAGAGACAGAGCTGTACATGGTCTTCTTTCTTCAATTGAATTAATGCCCAAAAAATAAACGGAATGAGGATAGGTCATAGGGAACGTGTGAGACTGGAACCAATAAAGGCTGGACAACTTTGGGGTTCAGGGTCTGGGTTCTGGCGAGCAGATCCTTCCCTTGCATCCATCACTGATTTTTTTAATTGTTATTTATATTTTTTTCTTTTGAAAAAGGAATGCAAGGAAGTGTCCCTTGAAATAAGCAATGTGTTATGATAATGGATCAGTGGAAGATCCTGTGCTCATGATACGAAAGTGATAGGTTCTCCTTGTTTATTTTTTTATTTCAATAATGAAAATTCCTGAAATATAAATTGAGAGAGCTATGCAATCCCAGACTAGCCTACCTTTTGAGCTTCTGCTACAGCCCTCTTGATGCTTACACGTTTCGAAAGGGATTTCTTTTTATTGCGCGAACTCTTGGCCCCAGCCCGACCCTTTCCACCGTGGTGCACTCGATGAGTCCGCCGAGTCAATTTGGCCTTCGCCGCGCTTCTTCTTCGCCCTCCGGCCTTGATCGACGTGTTTTCCAGCGGGGTGGCGTGGATGGACACCGGATCCTTCCCAGACAAAAGCATCTGGAGGACCTCGGTGTGGAGGCGGCCCTGGACCGACTCTCCGTTGATGTGGGTGATGAGGTCTCCCGTTCGGAGACCGGCTTCATGCGCCAGACTTCCCTCATTCACTGCCTGCAATGCAATTATCAATATTTGAATCATGGTTTTTTCCCGAAGATGCTCAAAAAGGAGAAGACGTAACTTGCCTTCACAATGTGATGAAGAGTGTAGTAGTCCGTATCGCCATAGTAAACCGGAATCGTCTTTATGGTGAAGCCGAATCCCTGCCGAGAACGACGAAGGATGACAGGAGGCTTAAAGGACGAAAGCGAACCGCTGTCTCGATTGGGGGACGCTTCACGGGATGAGGCAGTACTCGATTCGCTTGGGGTCTGTATTCCCAGTAAGCTCTCGTCTAAACGATATGCGCACGATTGTTAAATGATGAGAGATAAGATATACCACCAGTTGTAACGAAGTACTATAAGTGAAACTGCTCGTTGTTATGTTGCTAAATACTCATGACACAGAAGTTGCATTATGGCTACCAACAGACTATCTCTTTAGAAGCAATATGTACATCATACGCCACAGTCCACATTTACACCGAAGACATCACAGTTGCAAACCTAATGGGATCCTGAAGGAGAGTCCGGAGGCAGATGCACCCTTGCTGATGCGACGAACGCCTGGTGGGACGACAATGCTCGACGATCGTTTGCCCGCGACGGCCTTCTCGCTACGCTTTCTCACTTTCTCCGATGGCGCGGGTTTTGTTGGGGTACTCGGAGCAGAGGTACTAGTAGGTGTAGGCGTACTGGCTTCTGGGATGAGAGGACTGTCGGCGTTACCACGCGAGTAGCTTCGTTCTTTCACAGGTGACAGCTCCCCTGTAGAATCTCCATTTTCAGAAAACGCCGTGGGACTACGAAAGAAAAGAAATTCCTCATTGAAGAATTGTGTATATGAGTTTACACAACAGGCACTGAGATCCTTCTTTACGGTAGGGTGTCGGGGGAATCGTCAGGCGAGGGGAAACAGGGCATAATATTGATTCGGCGTTTCCTTATAACCAGCGGCGATGCGGCTTGTTCTGCCTGTGATGGATCTGGAGTGACTGGTGCAGGGAACGGGAAGCCATTTCCCGAAGAGCTGGAGAAGGAAAGAAAACCAATTAAATTTTCCCGAATCTACATTGAAATTCATATCTACGAACCTGAAACTCTCCCTGACTCACCCATTAGACGAAAAGCGTGGGTGCTCTTGTTCCGGCGTCCCTGGTGTCGACTCCGACCCAGAGTTATCAGAGTCTCTCATCTTGTCTCTCATAAAATGAGGGGAGCAGGACGAGAAGGACGAAAACAGCGAGGATCCCTCAGCATCATCATCATCCGCATCCGACTCGTGATTGTACCGATCCAGTCGAGCTGCACAAGAAGCGACCAGAATATTGAATACGATCGTTCCATCCCACCCGCTCTATGCATCCAACGACGAACGCACTATCGAAGTACGAAGTGTCTTCCTCGTGCTCCAGCTGCGGAATGAACTCTGCCTTCTGTCGAAGGAGAGAATCCCAGTCGATGGACTCGAAGAAGGGATGCTCCTTGACCTCGGCAGCACCGACGGTGCCCAGCCGATCCAAGGGACTCTGTTGCAGGAGGCCGGTGATCAGATTCTTGGCCTGAGGATCTACGGGCCAGTCTGATTCGTCTGGCCACTCTATGTTTGCTGTCGATTTGTAGCAGATTCAAGAATTCACTCACTATACTTCAGCTTGAAGAAAGACGATTAGATCGAGTTGAATCATCATCATACTTACCACTGACAGTATGAGCAAAGAGTTCCTCGGGAGTTTCACCGAGAAAAGGAACACAGCCAATGAGGAACTCGTAGAGAATAACTCCCATAGACCACCAGTCCACCGGCTTTCCATATCCAAGACTGAAAGACGAAGCATTGGCATTACTTACACGGTGCCGGAAACATGCTTAGATTAGTATCACCGAAGGCCGACCTTAGAATCACTTCAGGTGCAATGTATTCCGGAGTGCCGAAAACCTGCTTGTCCGAGAACTGGCGAGTCTCGCGATCGACAAAACCTTCATAAATATTTGTTGCATCTGCAGGAAGAGTTAAAAACAATCGCCTTGCATTATGTCGTTTCCCGTGAATTCCTATCCTTCTGATAGCGCGAAACACTCACGAGACATGATTCCGATCTTGCTGAGCCCGAAGTCGGTGAGCTTGATGTGGCCCAGGGCAGTGATGAGAAGACTGGAATTCCGAATCAAGGACATTAGATGTCACCCCCAAACGCACGAAATTAAAGGATGGAAACGCACTTTTCTGGCTTGAGATCCCGATGGACGATGCCATAGCTATGAAGGTATTCGATGGCCAGCACCGTCTCTGCAATGATGAATCGCGCCAGGTCCACCGGGAAAGGCCTCATGTTTTTCAGAAGAGTTGCGCAATCTCCTCCCTCCACGTATTCCATCACCATGCATAGGTGTTTCTGCAGCGATTTCACATAAAGGACAGAGTTAGTTACCAAAAAATATAGCAAACTGATTGATATGGTTGCCCTTACGGAAAAATCCTATAGGATCCTATAGAAACCCTATAAGACTCATAGAAAAATCCTGTAATATTTGCATGTTTCAAGTATCTCGTAGGATCCTTTTGGATTTTTTTTTCGTAAGGGTGTTCATGGAAGGTACCTCGCAGTGTTGGCAGGCTTACCTTCGTCTCGAAACTGCAGAACATGGAGACGACGAAAGGATTGTCCGTGAAGCTCATGATGTCCCGCTCGGCCAGGATCTGCTGGATCTGATTCCTCAGCAGGATGTTGCTCTTGTTGATCTTCTTCATGGCGAAGAGCTGCCACGTCTCCCTGTGGCGCACCAGGTGCACGGCTCCGTACGCTCCGTTGCTGATGAGCTTCACCTCTTCGAAATCCTCTTCTGCTGGGGCCTTTATTGTGTCAAAATCGGACATTAGCGGCGACTTAAGCTTAATCCAGGGAAGCTCGACCGATGAAATGAGATACCTTGGGTTGCGAAGTGTCCAGGCTCTGACCCAAATCCTCAGCTTTCTCACTCGTAAGCGTATTTTCTCCTTCATACTGCTTCAGACCCTCTTGAAGATCTACCGAAATGACGTTCCACTCTTCAAGTTTTACCCAACTCGACAATCAAAGCCGATCTCACTTCGATCTAATTGCTGCCAACAGCCTTACCTTCCAATGGATCCTTATTCAGGCGCAGTTTAGAAAATATATACCGCGGTATGCCCTCCTTGATTCTGGCGGTGCCCCTCACCTGGTCCTCTGTCTCCTCCATGCGTCTGCAGGCATGAACAATGCATATTGATTCTGGCTATTGTAGGCTATTGTGGAAGACTCGCGTTCCATCTGGTTGACCTTGTAGTTACTATTCTGTGTGCAATGGCCTTGAAGTGAACATGTAGCCACTTGTGTAGGCCTTGCCGTGATCGTTAAAAGTCCGATACTCGTATTTTCTTGAAAACATGTGATAGTACTCAGGAAAAGTATTTTGAGGGTATTTTTTGTTGCAATGAAGGGATGAAAGAAGAGTTCAACATTTCACTATCCGGATTTTTGTCGTTTTGGGGACAATGGTTGCATATTAGATGGTAGAGAAATCTGTCATCGATATTTTAAGAATTATTTTAACCATTCGAAAGCGCCAGTAAATGATCAGAAGGGTGCCCAAAGGTGGGAGAACGAATTAACACGGTTCTCTTCGCATCGCACCTATAGAATTTCTCCGGATCGAACTCCAGGCATTCGAGCAGCCGGGCCGGCCGGGAGACGATGAGGAGGAGCTCGCGGATGACGCTCGAGAGGTGGGCCAAGGCCTGCGGGGACTTCTCGCGGGTCACCGTCAGCAGCTTATCTAGGTTCTCCGAGAGTTCGTGGAAGTAGTTGGAGGTGATGAGCTTCTCCTGCGACTTGGCGAGGCAGTCGCGGGCCATCTCCAGGACCTGCGAAGGGCCGAAGGTCAAGGTTCTCGTTCCCTTTGGAGCGGCGAGAGCGAAAAGAAATTCTACAGCTTGTGTCATCGTTTTCGACGAGGAATACTCTCTCATCCATCATTCCGAGTTGAAGTAGGCCTCGGCGTTGCGAAAACACGATAAGTTGACTCGCGGATAGCGGCGCATTATCGCCGACGACGCGACACTATTGACGGAAAATGTGTCATGCGCGACCGAGCACGCACTAAACCCTGACCTGATTATGAGCGAAGCCCTTGATGGCGTCCGAAAATCCCGCGTCCCTGTGAGTCTCGATGAAATTGGCCAGCCGTTCCTCCATCTGCTGCGTCGCCTTCGGGAAACGCTCTTGGTAGAGGGTGTTCATCTGGACGATCTCGTCCTCGCACGACGCCGTCAAGGAGTGGTCCGGGCTGCTGCTGCTTAAGGAAGTCGATTCAGCATATAGTAATTGATGCTGTCTTAAGCAAACGCTTAACTTAAGCTAACTTTACTTAAGCAAACTTAACTCTTAAGCAAACTGATTTCTTACCCGATGCTGCAAGAGCGTAATCTCATCCCGGTGGACCTGATGATTCCCTCTTCGTCTAGGCTGGGGATGCTTTCGTTTGACATAAATCTCGATGGAAATTCCTCGTTGACCATACTTGGCATGCCTGCATGCAGTTGCTCATCGGAGGAACACTGGGACTGAAAATAAAACGGCACATTCGCCTCAAATCATTCAATTCAAGGCCATCCTGTTCAGCGCAGGAATTTTTCACCTACTACGTCAAACTTCACACACTTTTGGGCATGAATGATACCATAGTTACTTGCAGCCAGATGTTGAAGAGAAAATCCTTAAAGAAGCAGCATATTTTATTTCACTACCAGGAAGAGCGGTCAAAGGTGAACACTGACGCATTTTGGTCCTCAAGGTTCAGGGAGCATACAGTTCACGCTTGATATCCAGGAAAGCGAGTCGCACAGGTGCAAGTATGAAGAGGCGCTGCAATTTATTTATAGCTCCAGAGATGTCAATATACAAGGCTCAAGTAGATGATTGAATGAGGGATTAGGCGATAGATACGGCGCCCTGAGCTGAAGGACACTTCACAGTTGCCAAGTACTCTTCCCACTAATCCCACTGGAATTTTATCTCATCCTCTCATATCCAGGGACTTTTACTTTGGATTATTTTTTTGTCAAGTTCGCAGTATTTGAATTGATTATGGCAAAAACATTTGAGAACCGAGAATTTGGGACATAATGTAACGACTTGAAATTTCGTAATGTTATTTGATACATATTATTCATTTTTTGCAATTCAATTATTTGAAACGTTAAAATGAGGGCAAGGGAAAGTGCGGCCTTATCTTTTCCAAAAATACCATCATAAATATGAATAAATTAATATCTAGCTATTGCGTTGGAACAGTCACGTGAGCTTAATGCACTAGTTAAAGCACGGCGAAGGACGTGAAAAGGTCAAGGACACCCTCACTAACTAATGATTCAATTGGCATTCCCAAATCGGATCATATCCCAGCATTTCCATCAGTCCGATTTGGGACGCAGTGAGTGCCGTTTTCAATTAACTGATCAATTTCAGATCGAAGTGCTTCAAATAACCAAATTGCTAAGGCACTAATTACATAAATAATTCACCAAGTTAGTGATGCTAAAATGCCTGTCAGCGGTCACCACAACCTGAGATTTAACTATCTGTCCCTGGAATATAATGAGAAGGGTCATCGGATACTTACGGTTATCTAGCCCTTCCCGTGATAGGAAAAACATTGAAAGCGACCAGAGAATTATTAGCAGCCGACATCTGCGTGGGAAATTTGGCATTACTTTATCTGGAGGAAAACTCCCCTAGGATGCATTTAAAAACCGCAGCTTCTATTTAATATGAAAAAAAACCTGACAGCTTTCACGAGTTCCATTTCGAGTCGAGCCGAACCATATTCCAAGGCGTTGGAAAAAAGGGCGGAAGAAGAACTCACAGAGATGGGGGAGGAACCCGGAGTGGTGCCGTTGCTGGAGGACGGGAGGGAGGCGATGGACGACTGCCTCGCCTCCACCCACTTGGGGGGGTTCAGTCCCATGTAGACGCCCGGGCTCTGACGAGGGGATACGTTCCTGCGCCTCTCGGACGAATTTCCTGCGTGAAAATTTCAATGGTTTTGCATGATACACGATTTAAACAAATTTGGTAAATTTCTGATTATCTGCCAAGAAAAATTTACGGCTAAGAGTATGTAAACCTGGATTTCCTCTTTTGTTCTGAAAGTACGTGTATATATATATATTTTTAAAGAATAAGTATATAATTTAATAAAATTTATTTACATATTTAGAAATTTTTTATTATTTTCTTGAAATACGACGGCTGCGTGACTTGCGTACGAAATTCGACGGTTAAGCAAATGCGCTCCTTCCTCATTTGCATCGGAAAAGCGTGTCACCTCTTAAAGAAAGAGGCATGGGAATGAGTCGCGATCTTTCCTTAAAAGAAAGGAAAGAGGTGCTAAATAATCTGGTGAGTGACTTGCGGATTTTCTGCGACAATACCTCGCGGATGGATCAGCTCGAGTCATGAAAAAACGATGAAATACGATTTTCTCTGTCAGGAGTCAGGAGTCAGGAGAGTTAGTGATATCAAGAGGCGATTTCGCCCATTTCGATATCACGTGTCAAGGTCGAGCGTTCCTTAATTTTAGGGTAGGCCTAACCCTCTTAAAGCTAAATATTTTTGTATTTTTGAATTTCTTTTTTTACTATCCTAGTTGCTTACTGTCTAGTACCTACGTCAAAAATGCCCCCCACCTTTTTGCCTGTCCATGAAAGCATCTAGTTTCTTCTTAAAGATAGTCACAGAAGGGGCAGCCACTACTTCGTCATCTAACGCATTCCACGCGTTCACCACTCTGCAAGTAAAGAATTCCTGTCTCGACCTGAGCCGCACCTGCGGCTTGCGCATCTTAAGTCGGTTACCTCTCGTTCTCTTGCTGTCATCAAACTGGAA